AAAAAAAGAAGAATAAATTTAATGTAATAAGATTATGGGAGATGATATAGAAATAAATATAGAGTATTAAATATATATATATATATATATATATAAATAAAAAAAAAAAAAAAATATAAATATATATAAATATATTAATTTATTTATATTTATATTTATATATATATATATAAAAATAAAATATATATATAGATATATATATATATATATATATATATATATATATATATATATATATATATATATATATATATATATATATATATATATATATATATATATATATATATATATATATATATATATATATATATATATATATAAGTTATCTAATTAAAAATTATTTAATGTTCTATTTATTTAAATATTAAATATTTATGGTTGGGCCACTAAATAGTCGAATTAAATAAAGGATTGGCCTTTTTTGAAACATATTTTTTTGCTTGATCATTAGATTTGATGATTTATGATTCTAAACTCATACGTAAACATTATGTTTATTTCATGTTTAGATTTGATGTTGGTTTATTATAATATGTGAAACATACGGCTCTGATTGGACTATGTCATGGACTCATTTATTAGTAACATTTTAGTGAATTAATCTAGAATAATATATCTTCCTTTAATTTTTAATTATTATTCATTCTTGAAAACGGTTGCTTAGAAAAATTAGTACGAATTGTACGTATAATCTCATAATCTCGTAATATGCACGCGATTTGCACGTTGTTTGCATGTGATTTGCACGTGGTTTGCACTTGATTTGCACTTAATGTGGGAGAACTAAAGATCTTTAGCGACGAACAAATTTGTATTCGAGACCAGCCTTATTTCAAGCAAAACAACTTATAATTAATTTAATTTTCAATCATAATTCCTACATCAACAATGATTCGGAACCAGAACTACTCACTGAGGAGGTGCAACAACAGGCCCAAGATGCTGCTGCTGCTATGGCCCGTTACACCATGTGTGCGGTTTGTCATTGTTCTTACGGGGCTCGTCCCGTGAGAATAATTACCAACTGCAATTGCATGTGTCATGTTGATTGCTTCGATGGCGAGTTTCGTAATGCAAACCGAAGAGTTTGCCTCGGGTGTCTTGAGCCTTTCAATTTGGGTGGTTATACGGATCACTGTATCCATCCTTGGACGGAGAACCAGTGATGGTGAGGACGACGGTATGTAAGGTTTTCCACTGTTTTTTTTTTTTTTTCCTTTAACACAGTAAAAAAGAGGTTTTCTTTATAAGCTTATCCTCGTCATTTGAATGTGCAGAAAAGGAAGAGGTGATGTTCGGGTGAAAACAATGGGCACTTTTGCGCATGTTTTTGTACATGTACGTTAGTGCATGTCTATTTGAGCGAGTATGCTTATGCATGTTTGTTGATTTGTATTAATGTCCTAAGATTGTAGTTTGTGTTTTCATGATCCTTTTTGTGAATGCACTTTTGCGTGAGTACTTTTGTGCATGCTCTTGGCATAACTTTCTCATCTGGACTCCTAATCAACTGGTTCCGGCGGCATTGGAAAGCTATTTCAGCTGGCTACAATTTCTGTCTAATGACAAAATTCCAAATTCGGACTCGAACATGGTCAAAATTGGATTCTAAAAGCGATCATGAAAATACGTACTAGAGTTCGAGGACATGAATGCGTATCAAGAAACGTGCACAAAAACACTCGCTAGAAGAGATACGCACATAAGTAAAAGTACAAGAGCATGCGAAAAAGTACTCGTCAAGTTAATAAGATCGAAACAGAGGAGTATTACATCACATTTGCTGCAAACCATGATATCACACCTGGTCGGTTGGTTCTCTCCACATAATACCCCAGGAGTGTCCACAAAGGTCATGCGTTTCAATCATCATGACTTTGTAGTGATGAGATTATGTGTTCAATTCGTCACTGATGTCAAGTTAATAAGATCGAAACAGAGGAGTATTACATCACATTTGCTGCAAACTATGATATCACACCTGGTCGGTTGGTTTTCTTCACATAATACCCAGGAGTGTCCACAAAGGTCATGTGTTTCAATCATCATGACTTTGTAGCGATGAGATTATGTGTTTAATTCGTCACTGATGTCAAGTTAATAAGATCGAAACAAAGGAGTGTATTACTCAATCATCATGACTTTGTAGTGATGAGATTATGTGTTTAATTCGTCACTGATGTCAAGTTAATAAGATCGAAACAGAGGAGTATTACATCACATTTGCTGCAAACCATGATATCACACCTGGTCGGTTGGTTTTCTTCACATAATACCCCAGGAGTGTCCACAAAGGTCATGCGTTTCAACAAATGTAGGTAGATGAAGCTGGAAAATCATAGCTTCTCGTTTGGTTTTCTCCACATAATACCCCAGGAGTGTCCACAAAGGTCATGCGTTCCAACAACTATAGGTAGATGAAGTTAAGCTTCTTATAAAAATGCATTTCTACATACACAAAAGTAAACGAAAAACTATAACTCAGTGGATGTCGCATTTGAGAAACCTCAAACTTCGACAAAAACGGTCCACCAAAATTAGTCAAACTAGTAAATGGCAGGCCTCTATGTACTGCAACACTGGTCCACAAAAAATAGTTAGACCAGTAAATGGCAGGTTTGTATGTACTGCAGTCTGTGCAGGAATTCTCCTTTCACCCAGTAACTATTAACGTAATGTTAAAAATAAACTTGATCTCGATAGTATGTACCGCCGATGTTTACACAAAATATTTTGATTTTCATGGGCTTATTTCTTCAATCAAATTTCACCATCATAGCGGCGCTGTGAGAAGAAATTGTAGGAGACGGTCATACAAATTCATAGAGAAACCAAAAAAAAAAAAACGATGATGAATAGAAAACAAAAAAGTCTGTGCAAATGACGAAGAAAAAAAAATATTTAGAGATGTAGTGAAATATGCGCAGGGTGAAAAATGATGAACATAAATTAAACAATAAATAGGAAATAAATAACAGTTGAAAGTGAGAACTGCTCCATGTTCGATCAATTGTTCAACGTGATAAGGGAAGATTGAAGAAACGCTCGATCTCGATCGTCTTCATGTGCAGTTTTTTTTCTTCCGGCAGCTGGCACGATACATAATGTATATGTGGCAGTTTTTGTTGTGTGGAGTTGTTCAACAGAGGCATAGGAAATTTAGGAAGTCAGTTTTTTTCTTACAAAATTACCACTATGGTTACAAATATTTCACAAAAATAGAATTAGAGTTTCGGGGCAAAACCTTTCTTTTATATATAAAGATTATAAAGACGTGATCTACTAAGATTTATACGAAATCAATTGGCTCATTATATGGACTACTCCCCAATTATGAAAAAAAAGAAAAAAAAATTGGATCTACTAAGATTTATACAAAATCAATTGGCTCATTATATGGACTACTCCCCAAGACTTTTGATGGAGGTGTCAGGTGTACCAAAGTTTTATAATATTCTACAATTGAAATTGTCTTTAACTAGATTTTGCATTGTTTTGACATATTCTAGCAATGACCCGTAAAAGTTTGTCAATATTGAATGATAACCGAGTTATTGAATGTTTTAGATTTAAAAGTACGTCTTGAATTTAGTACCCGTGAGTTTGATTATTATTCTCTTTGATGTATATGGTGCTGGCCCTTCCATTTCGTTCTTGGGAAAATATGAGATACACCCCTAGTTTATAAATATATAGGGATATGTCCTATTAGTATTTCTCTTCTAGTCAAAAACCCAAATTTTAATTTTAATTTGGCAGACCCCCGGGACAATATGAAGTACCAATTATACCCCTTTCCGTATAAAATAAGCGTCAATTCTACTCACCCACGTCTTCAACCCACAACCAGCCCCCCTCTGCTCTTTCTCTCTCTAGAGTTTTCTCACGATGCTCTCTTCTTCTTCCCATTATTTCCCTTTCTATAGCTCTCCCACACTCAGCCTCTCTTCGCCGTCTGCCATCTCGAAGTTGCCGCCGCGAGATCCGAGGCCAAAGTAGAGGAAGCGGAAGCCATACAAACCCTAAATATCGTTCTGACATATCTCCGCCGCCGCTTCGCCGCTCTGGATTTCCGCCACTCGAAATGTTCTGTTCCGCCCCACCCGGTCCTCTGGCGATGTGATCCAGCGATTCCTTCGCTCATTTTACATGGCGGCATCCTTTCCTCCGATCTACCCTCCAAGCGCCGCTCCTCCTCCGTCAAGCGCCGCTCCTCCTCCGTCAAGTGCCGCTCTATTTCCACCGCCAACTGCCCGCCACCCCTAGATGAGAAGGTAAAGTCAGGGAAGGGGAAACCGCCGCTGCCGCCGCTAATATTAGATCATAGCCAAGAACACCACTTTCCTCTCCGTCGGAGCAAAAATATGGATCTAGGGTTTGAGTTTGAGAATAAAAGTGTGTAATGGACGAAAGAGAAATCGAAATTCATGCCTTCAATGCTGAAAACGGGTTGGTAGCATCACGGTTTGAGATTATGAGGAGGTAGTTGCCATTACTTTTGATATGGTTGAATTTTGGTGGTGATTTAACATACTATTGGAAATTGTGATGTTAATTGTGAACTAATAGTTGTTTTGTAATATTTATTTTTCTATTTAATTTGTTTTGCAGTACATGAAGCAGCTCAATGATTTTCTCGATTTTCCTTTGCAGTAAGTACATAATCTATGTGTGCACATATTAAATTAGAAAATCACATCTTAGTAGACGAATTTGCCAAATCAAACTGCATTTCGGCATTCTGCATTTATAGTGCACTTTCTCTTTTGTGAATTGTCGAATCAGAGCTCTGTTCATGTGCTGATTAACTAGATTCATTTGATGTAGCAGAGACTTTTCTGTATGTCGATGAAAGAAAGAAGGGAGAAATAGCTTGCTCGGCAACATGTTGAGGCAGTAGATTATGTGTGCATCATGCTACATTAATCTAGACTATGTTACCGTATAGCCTACATTAATCTAGACTATATGTTACCGTATAAAGCTATATATGACTATAGATAACTGTAGCCATATGTAGTAACTAGAACTTGTATTCTACTATAGTCATTTGTAGTCAACTTCATTAAGTTAATTTATCAAAAAAAAAATCGCATGTTTAGAGATTGTTGATTTAAATAGTGGGAATTTGCTATTTTACTGAGATGAAAGATGTTCCTTTTGGTAGAATATATATACCAGTTTTTTTTTCTTTTTTTTTTAAACCAAATTATTTTGAAATTCATCTTAGCAAAACAATATATAAAATAAAAGTAAATAAATAAATTAAAAATTTAAACTCACTTGAACGTTTTTTGCAGGGACGTACGGAGTGTCCCCAAGTGGAACCTTGTGTGCCACGTGGAAGGATTCAGATCTGGTTCTAGATGCTCCGAGAGGCTTAGTAGGTGAAATCCGGGTAGCCCATTCACATTTCTTTCATCATTTTTTTTCTTGAGAGAGAAAATGGAGGGAAGAGCCTTCAAATTGAGATTTTAGAGAGAGACAGGGGAAAGAAGTGGAAACAGGGTTCATTAATTTTCGTTAATTCAAAACAACTTTTTTGCGATCGACAGATCGGAGTTGTTGTCGTGTTGAAAATTGGTATTTGAAGCTAGAAATACAAACTACACTATATATGACTATACTCGTATAGTCACGTGTAGTCATATACACGTAGTCATATATAGTCACATATGGTCATATACATGTAGTCATATATAGTCACATGTGGTCATATACATATAGTCATATATAGTTACGTGTAGTAACATGTAGCGGTATATAGTTATATATAAATTAAGTGTTTTTTTCTGATGTATAGTAATGTTGATGATTGTGTTTTTCCAATTTTTTGTTCGGTACTAATTGATGATGATGATTTGTTCTTTGTTGAAGAACATATGCATGTGATTGTGTATTTCGATCTATATTTGTACAAGTTGATTTATAATATCAAGATTTAAATTGAGATTTTTGTGGTAGGTGTCGACTATATATAACAGGTATAGTACAGGACAATATATAATTTTGGAATAAAAAAAAGGTACATGATTATATATAACTATACGTGACTATAGAACATGTACTGGAGTATAGTCATTTGTAGTTTCTGTACACGAAACTTATTGAAAATTTATTTTTTAAAAATTAAAAAAATTAAAAAAAATTAAAAAAAAATTAAGAAACTTAAAAAACAAAAAAATTAAAAAAATTAAAAAAATTAAAAAATTAAAAAAAATAATAATTAAAATCATTTAAAAATAATAAAATAATAATAAAATAAAAATTTATAATTTTTTATTAAAAATTCTGAAAAAAATGATAAATGCATGTCTAAAAATGTGGAGTGCAGTTGGCTATAATGTTGAATGCAGTTGGAAAATGCTGAATGCAGTTGGTTAAAATTTACAAATAAGGGCACAATAGTACTTTTGGCTCTCCAGGGGTGTATCTCAAAGAAAGAATTTTAGGGGTGGACTTATCCTTATATATTTTCCATTCTAGGGGTGTATATCAAATGGCTCCTTATAATTAATACAATGGATACATATAAAGATAATTATTGATTTTTTTTTTCCAAATCTTGTTAAGCTGGCATAGTTTTATATACTTTAAAAGATCAATTATATATACACGGGAGATTTTGTTGCAACCAAAAGATTTGTTTCTATTTATTTCACTTAATTAAATGAAAAAGATAATTAAAGAAGGAAGTCAAAAAATGAAATAAATGAAAAATGTAGGATCAAAATTGAAGATGTCAAAATTTTGATTATATATTTATATGTTGTATTTTAAACAAATATAATTTATTGAATGCATATCCTAATATTATATAATTACGAAAATTAAAAAAAATGTATTTTATTATTAAAATTAGTCGATTATTACAATGAAAAAAAATTCCTAAAATTTATTTGAATATATATAAAAAAAATGGACATTCAAACAAATATATTTCGAAATTAAAAGTATAAATAAGATAAATATTTTTCGAATTTAAATATAGATTAAATGCATTAGAGAATAAATTTATATGCGGTATAATAGAATAATTTGAAATACGCTATAATAGAAATTATATACAAAGAATATTGTATGTTTATTAAATAGTTCAATTAAAAAATAAAAAATAAAAATTTATAATTATTTTTAATGGAATGGATATTCGAATATTCCAAAATATTGAAAATAAAAAAAAAAAAAGAAAAAAAAACTTTCTCCTTTATTTTAATATTAAAAAAATATTTTTTCTGAAAATTATTTGAATATTCGTAAAAAAATTGAGTATCATAAATATTTTCAATAAATATATTTTGAAATACATGAAATGTAAATAAGATTTTTTTATTTCGAAAAAAAATATTAATTTTGGAAATAATATATATATACACGTGGTAGATGTTTAAATGAGTGTATAAATGCTTAATAGGAAATAACTTAAATACATACCAAAATAAAATTGACAACTCATCAATTGGAGAATCCACCTCATCAATTGGAGAATCCACCTCATCAATTGAACTACAACTAAACAATTTTGATAAATGACATCATCATTTGCCACATGTCAATCATTGAGGGCATAAATCCTCTTTTTTATATAATATATAGATGGTGTCCTTCAAAAAAAGAAAAAAGAAAATTAGGAAAACAGTAGAAAATATCAAGTTCACACGGAAGATAACATTCTATTTATACTGACTCATAACCTTGGTACCCCGCAAGCAACCGAGTAGTGCACTACTACCATCAAGACACGAAAGAAAGAACTTTATGAATATTACCAATGTAGTCAAAATCGAGAAAGACTTTAAGATTTTACACACTGAAAAGGAGTAAGATCGCACTAAAATCGCGTGAAATCGCGTTCAAAATCGTTAAAAATGCGATTTTGGTTTTTGTCAAGAATTTGGCTGAAATTTTGGATTCTAGCCTCATAAATTCAGTTTTTTAACTAAAAAAATTTAGTCAATTACCAAATAATCCAGAATATGCAAAGCTCCACCCTATTTGGCCCTAAAATAACAATCTATCGCGACGAGAAGACAATACCTTTATTCTGCTAAAAAAAACATCCAGCGACTGTGAGTGTCAGTTTCAGTTATATCTCCTAACACAATTTATGTTAGACTATGTTTAACTAATGTTAAAACATGTTTTGTTAATGTTGGGATGTTTTATATTTGTTAGGACATATTATATGTATATTATGACTTATTTTATTTGTGTTACGGGTGTTTTGTTAATGTTGGGATGTTTTATATTTGTTAGGACATATTATATGTATATTATGACTTATATTTATTTTACAATACATGTACAATTTTACTATCCCTCTACGATTTCACTTAAAATCCCGATTTCTAAGAACTGGACGGTTCCACATCAAATAAAAATTGGGAGAAAGCTAATCCCATATCAAACTATATGCAATTTATGCAAATAAATATTGCATTTTCATTAGAAATGTCATATAGTATAGCACTTATCATGCGGTTTATGGTAAACTTATTCAAATAATTAGCACATACGCTATCACTTTATTACATATAGGATAAAATAATTTATATCATTAATGTAGATACAAAACATAATGAATAATCATTAAATTAAACTATATATAATGAATATATATATATATATATATATATATATATATATATATATATATATATATATATATATATATATATATATATATATATATATTGTTAATGGTTTACCATGTTTCCACATATGAAAATTAAACTATCGTGCAAATATCCACCATTATATCATATAGCATTATCAATTTATTGCATAAATAGATATCTTATAATTAAAAAGCGTACCCGTAAATTATATGTTCGACAATTCAAAATTTGTGGGTAGCACCAAATCGTGTCAATATTATGGCATTGCTGAATGATTTAAGCATATCTCTTCTGTCTGAAGTCCGATTTTGTTGATTCAGTATGACCCGAATAGCCAACAAAATGTTCTACAACTTTGATCTTTCACGTTTTCTGAGATTTTGACATATCATTATTCTTCAATTCCGTCTTCTTTCACCAAAATTTCGTGCATTGGACATTGGTGAGGCGTTAATATGCGACAAGTTGCATTGGTCACGAACGGTTGTATTTTTCATGAAAAGGCGCATTGGCAGTTCTAGCACTTTTTCATATTTTCATCATAACTCCTCCATACAATCTCCGATTGTGACGATTTAACATGTTCTGGAAAGCCAACTTGATAATCTACAACTTCTGTGAAATGTTAATTTTCCATATTCGGACTTTAACAACTTCGAAAATGCGAAAGAACGTGGACTTCATGTTCTATCCGAAAATGAACTTTTTCCTCTAATTTGATTTTGTAACTTCTTGATTTTTGGCAGACTATCTTCTTCTCCATCCCGTTTACCAACGTGTGCAGAAAATTTACTAAATCACAAAGATATTGTCTTAAGATTGTTGTTCCCGGTACATAAAACGGGTAGTGAATTTAGTAAAATGGTCGAACAAATTAATTAGTGAAAATACGAAAAGATTAGCCGAGGAACGAAAACTCTTTCCTTAAGACAATATTGTCCCGCTAAGGTGCTTACGGTTATTTGGCAATGGTCTCCCAAGATAGAACGGCTAACTCGGCATATGAACACTCAAAATCCAGAGTACAAGCTACGTTACTTTGTGTCTCAAACTCTCGAAACGAATACGGAAGAAAATATTCTACGAAGAATATTTTCGGGCTAAAGAAAAGAAGAATTCTATAGAACAAAAATATGGAATAGAATTGATTTTTTATGTTGTTATTAAATCAAACATGTGAGGTTTCTATTTATAAGTTTCCAATGGTTGTGATTATTGAACACAACCCTTAGGAAATTAAACAAGTGAAGAGGTGTGGCCACACCTCTTCGTATTGTCACACATATTTGATCATATAGGTGCCTACAAATATTTTTTAATTTTCATTCAAAAAATAATTTTATTTTAATAAATAAAATTTCTAACAAGTGTTCCCTTCTACCTTCCTTAAGCGATCTCAATTCTGTTTCTCCAAATCAGAGTACGACTTTCTCCGTGTTGTGTGTGCGCTGCATCTATCTATGTAAATAAGTCACATTTGCGGATTTTTAGCAACTACAAGGTGTTCTTGTCTGGGGATTTTGTTTCCGTCCGTTCTGTTGCTTGTGATTTGTGTAATTTTGATTACCTAGGTTATGATTTTTGTTACTTTTACTGTGTTTTTTTAATCAGTGGATGGTAATGAGTTGATGAGTTCTTGTGTGAATCTTTAAAATGCTTTAAGACATGGCGAGAGTTCCGATATTGATGCATAATATTTATGCTTTGAACTAGAGGTGTTGCAAGTGATGTTACTGAATGAAGCATGTGATGCAAATAAACCATATATGGACATCAATTCAAATATTAGAGTTTGTAAAAACAATTGACATGTTTCCAAATGCGATGATTGCTTATAGAATTTTGTTGACAATACCCGTCATTGTGGCATCAGCAGAGAGAAGCTTTTCAAAATTAAAATTATTAAGAAATTATTTACGGACCACAATGTCTCAACAAAGGTTGAATGGGTTAGCACTTTTAAATATTGAAAAAAATATGTTGGAAAATATTGAGTACGGCGATATCATTGATGACTTTGCCTCTAAAAGTGCAACTCGAAAACATTTTCAATGAATTATTTCACTTATTTTTTTTTTGATATGCAGGTGTTTAGCTATAACATGAGGTGATAATTTCTTTGAAAGCTGATGATTGAAGATTAGGAGAAAAAACAATTTCTTGCTGGGATGGGAGTTCAAATATTTTTTTTATTTCATTTTGTTGTGTTAAAATTGTAATGTTATGACAATTTCTTTTTAATATGTGGGTTTTTTCTACTGTTGAATATTTTTAAACACCGTTTTATTGATATTTCAATTTTTTTTTATAATTTATTATTATTTTATAAAAAGAT